CTATCTATCTATCTGTCTATCTGTCTGTGTAACAGTCTGTCTATGTATCCGTCTATCGATCTGTTTTGCTCTTAATGCTCAGTGTGATCTGGTGCTTGTGATGTGTACGCCATACAGCTGAAGTATTCAATGTAGATGCACTGCTGATCTAATAGAGTGGTTGCTATGGAAATATGCTGGCCTTTTTGATCTGTAAAGGATGTGTAATGTGTGTATACTGTCTCTGCTCTCCCTCAGCAGCCCACATTGGCGTGGGCATCAGCGGACAGGAGGGGATGCAGGCAGTGTTGGCCTCTGACTATTCGTTCGCCCAGTTTCGCTACCTGCAGCGTCTCCTGCTCGTCCACGGCCGCTGGTCCTACTACCGCATGTGCAACTTCCTCTGCTACTTCTTTTACAAGAACTTCGCCTTCACGCTGGTTCATTTCTGGTACGGATTTCTCTGTGGATTCTCTGCCCAGGTAGAACTTTATCTTATTTCAGGCTGTGGATGGAATATGCATGTGATTTCAATTTAAGATTATGAATAATGTTTTTGTCTTTAAAGACGGTATATGACCAGTGGTTCATCACACTCTTTAACATTGTCTACACCTCACTTCCTGTTCTGGCCATGGGCCTGTTTGACCAGGTAAGCCTAGTATAGGTGTCAATTTTTGGTGCATTGTGTAGCAGCACCAAACACAATTGCAATCTTTGCCTTTTAACATAAAATTTGTTGATTTTGCAGGATGTGAACGAGCAGTACAGTTTACGCTATCCAAACCTGTACAGACCTGGGCAACTGAACCAGCTCTTTAACAAGAGGAAGTTCTTCACCTGTACACTGCAGGGGGTCTGTACCTCATTTATCCTCTTCTTCATCCCATACGGAGCCTTCTTGACCGCTGTGCGGGATGACGGCGCCCACATCTCTGATCAACAGGCTTTCGCGGTAACCATAGCAACCACTTTGGTGATTGTGGTCAGTGTCCAGGTGAGGCAGTTTAAAAACTGTGCTTGTTTACTCAATCCATTAAAATACTTTAGAAATAAATGACAATGTACAGTACATAAAGGTTATGTAAAGGTTATTTCTGTTTAACTCGACATTGCAGTCTCTCTCTCTCTCTCTATATATATCATTAAAGAAATATAATTTAAGAAATAAAACTGTATAAATATTTTGTATAAGGTGCTATAATCATTGTATAATAAAGATTTTGTATATAATTTGGAAAAAAAAAGCAAAAATCTAATTTTTATTACTGAAATGCAGCAAAAAATGGAAAATGTACTTAATTCTCATGAAAATATTATAATGCAAATTATATTAAAAGGCCAGTTCACCCAAAAATGAAAATTACCCCATGATTTACCCTCAAAGCATCCTAGGTGTATATGACTTTCTTCTTTCAGACGAATCCAATCAGAGTTAAATTAAAAAAATGTTCTGGCTCTTCCAAACTTTATAATGGCAGTGAATGGGTGATATTTTTCAATAGTCCTAAAGAAGTCCAATAAAGCGCATCCATCATAAAAAGTGCCCCACGCGGCTCCGGGGGGTGAATAAAGGCCTTCTGAAGCAAATCGATGCATTTTTGTAAGAAAAAGATCCATATTTAAAACGTTTTTGGGTGAACTATCCCTTTAATGGTGTATATATATATATATATCGTTAAATAAAAAAGAAGCCTAAATTAGTGTTAAGAATATTGAATTTTGTTTCAGATTGGGCTTGACACCAACTACTGGACCGCTGTTAACCACTTCTTTATCTGGGGAAGTCTAGCTGTTTACTTTGCAATCCTTTTTGCAATGCACAGCGACGGCATTTTTACCATATTCCCAAACCAGTTTCCTTTCATAGGTAAGAATGTAAATGGGTTTATAGGTGCACTAAATCTTTTATTTTTTGTTTTGTTTATTATTGTCTAAAAAACAAGACAGTTGGTCTTGGACTTCATACTGACACCTACTGGTGTGGATGCAGCATCACATTTAAGCTAAAGATGCCATTGTGAAAAGCAGATTCTCAGGCTATTTGTTATCAATGATTATATCTTTCTGCAACCAGAACTGTCAGATATAGAGCGCAGCAACGATGACGTATTTTTGTAGGACAACCCACAAGATCCCTTAACAAAAACCTATAAAACAAAACATGAAAATATCTTGAGCTAGTGTTGACCACAGGCCTTATTTCAGGCATTTAATCAAAAACACGTTCAAAAAAGCCACTGATCTGGGAAAAATAAATCATCCCTGAGCAGTTTTTTCTAGGCCACTGATATTACTGAAGTTAAACATATTGTGTTTGACTGTAGGTACCGCACGTAACTCTCTGAATCAGAAGTTTGTGTGGCTCGTCATCCTCCTCACCACAGTCGTGTGTATAATGCCCATGGTGGCTGTCCGCTTCATCAAGGCTGACCTCTATCCAACACAGACTGACAAGGTTACTACATAAACACTTGCCTTGTACAGTGGGAATTGAAAATGATTAATATGCCTTTTTACCATTGACTGCAATTAATGTCAAAACCGTTTTCCCTCCCGTAGGTGCGTTTACTTCAGCAGACCTCTAGGAGGCAGGGTCCTCAAGAGCAGAACCTCAGGAGAGTCCGCAGGACGAGTTCTCGGCGCTCGGCGTACGCTTTCGCCCACCAGCAGGGATACGGAGAACTCATCACCTCCGGCAAGAACATGAAGGTACCCACATCCTCCACTTCCACATACCCACTATCCTCGCCCGCAAGAGGCACCAGCTTGGTGAAAAACAGCGGCACAACCGATGCGGCAGAGACCAACAGCACTGGATTTGGGAGGGAAAGTGACCAAAACCAAGAGGTAACGGTGGAAGACTTGGAGGCCAGATAAAGGAGCATTTTTCTTCCTTTACAGTCTTTAATGTGAGAAAATGATAATGGATTGTGAGCAGACACACAGATGCCGTGGGCACGACTAGACTATGGGAGGGCTAGACATGCACAGGAGACTCCAAAGAGCCAGCACAATGAAGCACAGATAACACTCATTTTCTCATGCATCATATCTCACAAGGCACCCGTTTGAATTTTAAAATGAACCTGAGATTCATTTAGATTTCATTTTGTATTTTCACCTCTTCTGGCACAAATTCAAGTTCAATGTTTTTGTATTTCAAGTTTTAGGAACTTGCTTTTATGCCTTAGCATGGAAGCTTGTTTCTGCCACAGGATTTTAAAAAAATTAAAAGGTAATTGTGACTTTTTTTTCTTTGTAATTTTGAATTTATATCTCACAATTCTGTCTTCTTTTCTCGCAATTGTGAGAAAAAAAAGTCAGAATTCATACAAATTCAATTCTCTGAAGAAAAGTCGGATTTATGAGATATTATTTCGCAATTGCAAGAAAAAATGACAAATTGTGAGATTAAGCCGCAGTTACCTTTTTATATTTAATTCCATGACAAAAAAATCGGAATAGCAAAATGTAAACCTAGAATTCTGAGAATTATTTTTCTCGCAATTCTGAGTTTATATCTTGCATTTTTAACTTTTTTTCTGAGTTTGTATCTTGAAATTCTGACTTTTTTCTCGCAATTCTGCCTTTTTCCTCAGAATTCTGAGCTTACATCTCACAATTCTGCTTTCTTTTCTTGCAATCGTGAGAAAAAAAAAAGTCAGAATTGCAAGATGTTAAGACACAAACTCGGTTCTCTGAAGAAAAGTCAGAATTGTGAGATATTTTCTTGCAATTACAAGAAAAAAGTACAAATTGTCAGATAAAGCCGCAGTTACCTTTTTTTATATTTAATTCCATGACGAAAAAACGGAATAGCGAAATGTAAATCTAGAATTCTGAGAAAAAAAAGTTAAAATTGCGAGATATAATCTCAAAATTGCAAGAAAAAAATTCTAAGTTTATATCTTGAAATTCTGACTTTTTTTCTTGCAATTCTGAATTTTTCCTCAGAATTCTGAGCTTACATCTCACAATTCTGTTTTCTTTTCTTGGAATCGTGAGAAAAAAAAGTCAGAATTGCAAGATGTTAAGATACAAACTCAGTTCTCTGAAGAAAAGTCAGAAATTGTGAGATATCTTCGCAATTACAAGAAAAAAGTACAAATTGTCAGATAAAGCAGCAGTTAGCTTTTTATATTTAATTCAATGACAAAAAAAACAGAATTGCAAAATGTAAACCTAGAATTCTGAGAAAAAGTCAGAATTGTGAGATATAAACTCAAAATTGCAAGAAAAAAAATAAATAAAAATTTCGTCATCCTGGAGAAAAAAAACATCAGAATTTAGAATTGTGAGAAAAAGTTGCATATACCTTTTTATTTATTTTGTAATCCCGCTGCGGAAATTGCCTTCCATATGCAAATGATTCAGGCATTGGAACAATAAATTAAACTTTAGAGTTTATGTTCAACAAATGACATCATTTTAACAATACTAATAAAGCATAAAGGAGTAAACATGTACACGTATGTGAAATAATACCTCTTATGTTGTTATAAACACTGATACAGCCATCTGCAGTGGTTTAGGATTATAAATGCATTGCATATTAAATATGGATATGTTTGAAGACCTGGAAGTTGCATCACAGATATCTATACTCAGTTTACAAAAATGCACCCAAATGCATCATGCTACTGGATGAGTAGTAACACTTAGGAATGTCTGATATCGATGCTGCAGAGAACATGCATTGGCTGGAAATCTTACGTTGGCGTTGTAAAGCAAGCTCTAGCTTTTTCACCGATTAAATGGGTGTTAAAAGGTTTTAAAATGCCAAATTTTATTTTAAATATGCCTCTTTTTTTAAAAAGAAAAACATTAAAGGAAGTGCAAAAACATTCCACACTTGTCCATAATTCAAACCGTAGTTAGTGCTTTTGCATGCAGCGCAGCGAACTGAGAATATTGAGTTTTTACGCAGAGTCGTGCCTTCCATCAAGCGATAGACTGAAGCATTTACGCGTTTAAACTTCTAGAATTCCACATCTATCTAATACAAAAGGTCTATAAAGTGGGCATTTCTTTACAGAAGGAATTTTTGTGCCTTTTTGTTTTCCTTTCATTAAAGGAAGTACTTTCAGTTGTCGAGTCGAATGTGTTGCCATTGTTTTTTTCTTTGATTCAGGCTGTTCATTACCCTCATTGACTACATTAATGTAGATCATATTTTTTAAATAATTTATTTGACGAAGGGGGTCGTGCAGCATTACCTGTTTATGAATGTACAGTTGACATGTTAATTTAATGTTATGGTAAATATATTTATGACGAATGTATAAGATTTTCTGCTGTGCTATTTTGTCAACAAAGACCATGCAGATTGTTTATGGTTTTTATTTAAATGCATGGATTTTTATACAAGTCATTGTAATTTTTTTATATGATATGCATTAAATGGCCATTGTTTCATTTATTTAAAAAGGAATGTTTGCGTTCATGTTTCATATAGCAAATGTTTTACTCATTGCGAAGTTCTCTTCAAATTCTTGAAATGACTGGATTTAGCTCACGAAAATTCACCGAACAATGAAAAATGTGACCGCAATACATCAGTTTCCTTGTAATACTTAAAATTAGTTTGAATCCCTAAATGGAAATATAAGTAGTAGTAATAGTGTAGTAAAAACCACTAACAGTTATTATTGATTCTATAAAGTAAATGACAAGGATTGGAAACATTAAGATTTTTATTGAATGCAACTGGTTGAATATTGACCTTCAACGCTTTTAGAAAGTGCAGCAAAGTTAGGAATGTACTGATCATCTCTTGGATCTTTCTCTAATGCCTTGACAACCTTAAATTGGCTATATAAAGATCAGAGTGCTTACTTCATTCTTTTAAGACATGCAGAGTACAAATGCCCATTCAGACTTTATACAGTCTGTTTCCCTTTCATCATATCTGCCATTATACATACCACCTCCTGCTTCTAAGGCCACAGGCTCGATTGTGTTGCTAAAATGAGAGAAATTGCCCCGCTACTTTTCATTCCTCTATGAAAATCGCCGCCCCTCCTCCCGGCCTCGTCACGAATAAACTCTGCTTCTCCAGAGCGGATCGACGTGCGTCAGGCACGTAATAATGTTCTCTCACAGTTTGGAGAAAAGAATCTAATCGTTCTCCGGGTACCATGGAAACCGTGCAACCTCCCCATCCAGCTCCGGTTAGCCTCGACCCCACGGCACCTGCCTGCCTGTGAAGGGAGCGGGAAGATGTTGCTAAAACGCCAATTCATTAGACAGACTCGGGCAACTTCCATTAGTTTGCCACATGAGCTCAGAGACGTGACTCATTCAGTTCAAACTATTTCAGCATCATGTAATAAATACTGGTCAAAATTTAGATTTTTTAAATGGTTTTGAAAGAAATGTCTTATGCTCACCAAGGCTGAATTTATTTGATTACATTTTACAGAATACAGAAAAAACACTAATATTGAGAAATGTTACTACAATTTATAAAAACTGTTTTCTATTTAAATATAATGTACTGTAAAATGTAATTTATTTCTGTGATGTCAAAGCTGAATTTTCAGCATCATTACGCCAGTCTTCAGTGTCACATGATCCTTCAGAAATCATTCTAATATGCTGATTTGCTGCTCAAGAGACATTTGTGGAAACCGTGATTCCAGGATTCTTTTTAGAACAGAATGTTCAAAAGAATAGATATATACAGTATGTGTGTATATACATATATATCTATATATAGAAAATCTTTTCGTTGAATATCTTTTTTCTTACTTAACCCAAAACTTTGAATGGTAGTGTATCATGGTTTGCAATAAATATTAAGCAGCAGTAACTGTTCTAACATTGATAATGTTAAAAAAATGTTTCTTAAGCAGATCAGCATATTATAATTATTTCTGAAGGATCATGTGACACTGAAGACTGGAGTAATGATGCTGAAAATCCAGCTTTGATCAGAGGAATAAATTCCATTTTACAATATATTCAAAAAGAAAATATATTCAATTATTTTCAATTGCAATAATATTTCACAATATTACTGTTTTTACTGTATTTTTGATAAAATAAATGCAGCCTTGGTGAGCATAACAGACTTATTTCAGAACATTAAAAAGTCTTAATTGTTCCAATTTTTTGACCAGTAGTGTACATTTTAATAGAGAAATGTTTTTATATAATATTCCTAAGTGTATTATGTGTGATATGGCATCGCCAGCCGGTCTCACTCACAGACATGTGTCCACCAGCTGGTCCAGCTCAGGGCAGCTGCACTCGTACAAGTCTCTGCAGCTGGCGTGGCTTCGGTTCATCAGGTCGCCCAGCTGAGTGACGGCGTTGGCAGGGGAAGAGTCGCACACGGCCTTAAACTGCAGGACACGCGCAGCCTCGCCGTACACGTGCCTGGCGCGCTGGTACAATTTAAAATCAGTCGCTGAGGTAAAAACAGAAGAAGTCTGTCTCAGAAATAATATATATGAGCCATTCTACAGAATTGGTGCAAACTGCTGTCCCACAACCAGAAAACACATTAAAAAAGCATTTAGGTAATTAAATCTTAGATGTTTATTGAGATCTTTCTATTATCTATTGAAACCCACAATAATATTTTAAATATTAGTAAGCTTAATATATATAATATCATCATTTATTGGGTACTTTCAGTTGGGAGGTAACTGTCTCTAACCCCTACATTTCAACTTATGAAAAACATTGAATTTTTTTTTCCATTGTTGTTTTTAAAAGTATCTTTTTTTTAATTCTTTTAAAAAGTTAAGTTTAAAAAAAATATTTATATTATATTTTCAATGTAAATTATTAAACTTTATGTTTAAAAAAATGTCCCGCATTTTTCATGTCACTACCAAAACAGTGTATGTTTTAGTCCATTGGCCGAGACTGATTTTAACTACACCCCTAAATTTATGATCAGGAAATATTCCAGTGTCCCTCTCTCTCATAACTACAAGATGCGAGTAGATAGGTCTCATCATTTTGAGGTCAATTGTTTTCAAAAGTCTGAAAATCTGTTTGTAACTTTAAGGAACGTCACTACCGAACACCTTTTTTTTGGCAATAAAGCACACTTTTTTGGGAGGTATTCCATAATATTTAGTTTTTATATGCATACCACTGTTCAGAACTGTGCTAGCTAACCATGTGCTGATTAGCATCTTTGAGCTAGGTTCAAAAGTATCTAAAATTGTCACTACCGAAACATTTGGGTGAGTTTCGGTAGTGACGTTTTTTTTTGTGTGTGTGTTATCCCATAGAATTGTCACTACTGAAACATTTGGTGGAGTTTTGGTAGTGACATGTTTTTTTTTGTGTGTGTGTTATCCCATAGAATTGTCACTACTGAAACATTTGGTGGAGTTTTGGGAGTGACATGTTTTTTTGTGTGTGTGTTGTCCCGTAGAATTGTCACTACCGAAACATTTGGTGGAGTTTTGGGAGTGACATGTTTTTTTGTGTGTGTGTTGTCCCGTAGAATTGTCACTACCGAAACATTTGGTGGAGTTTTGGGAGTGACATGTTTTTTTGTGTGTGTGTTGTCCCGTAGAATTGTCACTACCGAAACATTTGGTGGAGTTTTGGGAGTGACATGTTTTTTTTGTGTGTGTGTTATCCCATAGAATTGTCACTACCTAAACATTTGGTGGAGTTTCGGTAGTGACATCTTTGGGGGTTTTTTTTGGGTGCTATCCCATAGAATTGTCACTACCGAAACATTTGGTGGAGTTTTGGTAGTGACATGTTTTTTTTTGTGTGTGTGTTATCCCATAGAATTGTCACTACAGAAACATTTGGTGGCGTTTCAGGTAGTGACATGTTTTTTTTGTGTGTGTGTGTTATCCCATAGAATTGTCACTACCGAAACATTTGGTGGAGTTTTGGTAGTGACGGTTTTTTTTTTTTTTTCCCCATAGAATTGGCACTACCGAAACATTTGGTGGAGTTTTGGTAGTGACGGTTTTTTTTTTTTTTTCCCCATAGAATTGGCACTACCGAAACATTTGGTGGAGTTTTGGTAGTGACGGTTTTTTTTTTTTTTTCCCCATAGAATTGGCACTACCGAAACATTTGGTGGAGTTTCGGTAGTGACATTTTAGTTTTTTGGGTGCTATCCCTTAGAATTGTCACTACCGAAACATTTGGTGGAGTTTTGGTAGTGACATCTTTGTTTTTTGTTTTTTGGGTGCTATCCCATAGAATTGTCACTACCGAAACATTTGGTGGAGTTTTGGTAGTGACATGTTTTTTTTTTTTGTGTTATCCCATAGAATTGTCACTACCGAAACATGTCATCATTGTTTCGTTAGTGACAAAAGGGAACACATAATCCACATATTTGGAGGAAATTTTTTTGTATTTTAGTATGTTTTAGTAATGTTTTAGTATGTGAGTTAAAATTCTGTAATGTGATGTGGTCGCTACCAAAGCATTACTGTCACTACATGGGATGTTTTGTCAAAAATAAAGTACTGAATTATCAACTAAGATGCTATTATAGTTTTTGGTTCAATGTACAGTATATTCAAATTAATGAATCCTTAACTTTGAAATCAGTATGATCAACTTTTTGCCTTTTACAAAGAAAAATTGTATTCAAAATACCACAAATCTCATAAATTACACTTGAAATATTGTTAAAAATTTAATTATTGATTTACCTCTGAAAAAAATTTATAAAATAGAAAGAATATATATTTACAATTTAGATGTAAGCAAAATCTTAATAGGTCAACATAACCCTTCTGATTAAATTATTATTACTGTGTTTCGGTAGTG